CAAAAATGATACCGGTTTAAGGGGATCTGCATGGGGGGGGGGCAGTTAAGGATACTTGAAAAATTAAATTAATCCAATGCTTGCATAATGACAATATCCAGTAATTTAGAATTGTTGTAAATATATCATGATTAAAGAATAGTCGATGATGGTATAGTAAGATTACTTTTCTCATTTGAATTGATTGACATTATATTGTAACGCGTTTCTAACTGCTCTGGGATACTTATTTGGTAACAATTTACTGCTGATTTGTTATTAGATGATGGATTTTTGATGAATCTTATAAGCTGAGTACAACCAGATGTTCCTTCATATGTAAATGGTAACTGGTTCATTTAATCCAGTAATGGAAGCCTTAGTACGGGTATATTTGGCTAACCTCTATTTTCAATGGCATTTAGTTCAATTTGTCTGTTTTTACTGTTATTTTTAGCTTAAACGCCTCATATTCTTAGTCCTATTACTAGATTGTCAATTTGAAGTACTTGTATCTACGTGTATGCACCCATGTGGCTTGTGTATACGGTAGCTGGTTTCACACATGGTGTTCTGATAACCCCCATACATAGCCTTCATATTTTTAGCACAAAGTGAATGCACAAAATTGATTTTGAAAGGCACTTACTAATGGACATTAGAAATAAATGTGATAAATTGTGTAAAATCAGTTTAATTTGCTATTTAAGTATCCTTATATCCCCCATGTAGAGCCCCAACGAATATTTCCAATTATTTTTAGCATTTTTAACAGTTGTCCATTGATCCCATGCAGCTGCACAAAAAATGTCAATGATTTAACCCGAAAAGAGACGTTGTTACCTAATTTATGGTCCAAAACCCGGAAAACCCCCATAAAGACCCCTCGTTCACGACCCGCGTTCTGCGTGTCCCAATTAAACGACACTTGTTTTTGAATTAGCAGATGTTCCTCTTTCCAGCAACGGTAAAACTGTTTATCAAAATCGCCGCGTGACGGAGAAAAGGCTACTTGAAAATGACTAAAATTTAGAAAGTTGAAAAGTCTTGAACTTGAACTTTGAACTTGAACTTTATTCATCAAAACAACATTGCAGGCTGAAACAGCCTGAATTGTGTTGCAAGTCACATGTGCATCCATTTTAACAATAACAATTGTAACATTTTAGTGTTAAAAGATTAAGTGTTAAAAGAAATATCCGATAATGACGTATTGTATAAAATATCGATAACACATTAAAATATAGACAATAATTGAGTAGAACAACTTTAGGATATAGGTACAAGTACAAGGAGGCAATAATTTTTTTTTATAAAAGTCTATAGTGTCCTTCAGATTTTAAAAAGTCAATAGTGTCCCTCACTGCTGCAAGATGTTGAGTGATCTGGGGATAAATGATTGTCTATGTCTCTCTGTACGGCTAAGTGGGATCTTGTAGCTGGAAGTCTGACGGCGTAGTTGGTAGGTTGTCCGTCTACCCGGCTCAAGGAACTGCTGGCAAGGGTGAGTGTCATCGGCCATCACCCTCCTGAGTTCACGTACGGATGCCTCACGTCTCCGCTCCTCCAGGGTCGGCAGTTGACCGGAAGGGACTCCAATGATTCTGCAGCAGATTTTCTGTACTTTCTCGAGCTCGTCAGCCAACCCGCGAGGTAACCCTCCCCACACTGGTGATCCGTATTCCAGCACTGGTCTGACAAATGTCTTGTAAATATAGCTGGAGGGTTTTAACTATATGGCTGTTAATAGTTCCACATACCTATCTCACATACAAAGTATGAGCGGATTTGGCCGACCCCCATCTTCCGGCCTCTGCCTGGTTTTCTCGTGCAATGACTCTTTTAAGACAACAATTGGGTCATTACTGATTCCATAAATCCTTATTATCCTTAACACGTGTATCTTACACATTGCATTTTGATATGCGTAGTATTACAATGGATTAGTATTCTATTTATCATTATGATCAAGAAAGACGGATGTATATCCAACTAATTTGGTGTAATTTACTGCATTTGAATTCCAAAACGTGTTATCATAAACTAAGCCGCGTCTCAGGCTTTTTTTTTATTCCAACATGTAATCACCAGACGTCGTGACGGCACACTCAAGTTTTTTCAACTTATATTAATGCCGCCACCAACACAGGGGACAAAAACATAACAGGACAATACTCATTTACACCTGAGTTTTCACACTCATTAGTGAAAAAAAAGTTATTGCATATATTTTGCAGTCTCTTGTAAATAGGCCTAAAACTGTTGTCACATTTTGCATGATATAACACATTTTTAAAACTAAGTTAATTTATAGATGTAAAAAAGGCCACAAAGACTTAATTTTTATGGATGACACCCGCGCGCACATTGATTTTCGATTGTTCTAAAAATAAAAAGATCACGTCAGGTATCAGGTATTGTACCAGCTTGGTAAAGAGAAAATATTCAAAACATCTTTACGTATGTTGAACTGATGTAAGTCGCACCTCGTTCCTCTTTCTTACAGCACGTAAAAAGGTTCCAACCATAGCGGTACTTGTAAAAAGAATTCGACAGTCTTTCTTCCCGCCATGCCGCCTTAGGCAAGATGGCGGACCGAATCTATGTGTGACAACAACGTAAACGACGACGAGCAGTACTGAGTGCCGTGCGGGATGGTAGTATTAGAAACTAGTTCCTGTACATGTGTAGAACTGTGACCAAAGTTCTCGTGATCATTTTGAGATCATCTGGCAAAAATTCTATCAAGGATTTCTGGAGTTACGGTATTTTTTCAGAGGTCATATACCACGGCGCTAGCACAGTGCTCGGGCAGGTGGAATACGGCTAGGCCTGGGGCGTAATTCAGGCAACCTTGGGTGGAAAGTAACGGGCAATCGATTAACCACCTTCCAAGCTCCCGCAAACACAAGCAAAAACACATGTGCATACATAGATACACGCATACACACACGAACGCACCAACAGACACACAAACAGGACACAAAAAGACGGACACATGCGCACATCACACACACACACACACACACACACACACACACACACACACACAAACACACACACACACACACACATCACACACACACACATTACACACACACACACACACACACAAACACACACACACACACACAAACACACACACACACACACAAACTTCACCTTTTTAGAGGCAGGCTTATCCTAATTGTCAAGGGCGCCAACTTTCATTAAATGTTAGGCTGAAGTTGACGTCAACTAACTTTCAAGACTTTAGTCTGAGATTGGAGAATACATTTCGATTCTAGCTGTAAATTCTCTTCGCCCGGATTATGTATGAAAAATACGAATTACCAGATATCTCCTCGTATGTAGTACTCTGCATGCTGCTTAGCGTACTGGACGGGTCCATATTTTATCTACTGTCAAATTCATCCCATTTCTCTTCCCTTTTTGCTGTACTATTGCACAGTCAGTACCTACAAACTCGTGATGAAATGTGTTTCAATTTTTTTTTTTGATCGAACTAGTGAATGAAAAAATATTAGATATTTGAACCGTAGCTTACCAGAGAGAAGTACAGACTTAAATCCAACGGCTTAAAACGGTTTGAATGTCGATAACAAAGAAGTCCACGGTAAACATGGTAAGGTGATACGTTATTAGGCATGGGAAGCTATCGTATGGTAGGCAACGGTGACGTTACTATGTGGTAGTGTTATACTGCCGCATTTGCCGCTTTGTCACTTGTTTGTATTCTCATTGATGGAATAAACAAGATCAAAACACCAACTTTGACCTAAAGTAAACAAAGACCATGCAGCCTAGAAGGTTATTTACTGACAATCGACGTACATATAGCTGTAGTGTTTAGTAAAATAGCGCTTTGGGAGGTGTTTTGTTCAAAACTAAACAAAACTCAATGTTAACTTTTAACTGAATTGCTAAACCAAGAGTTTGTTCAAAAGCGCAGTTTGAATCGTTATAATGTGTGCATGTAGTCTTCGAAAACAAAAGTAAACAAAAAAAAAAACCGAGGTGGGCCAATAACAAAAAACAAAGTTGCCCAATTATACAGGATTTCTACATTTTCAAATTTTGAGACCATACACAATTGAAAGATCCAATTTTTAGAGGGTAAAGCCTTCTTTTCCTTCGTAATCACTTCCTCACCGAATGTAAAAAAAAAACTTTTATGTTACATTTTGTTATGTACATGGATTTGTCATTATGAATTCAGAAATCCTTTTGTGCTTTCTTTCATAGCTGTTTAATATGTGATTTTGGCGTATAAATAGAAATGATCCATTTTTTAAATCTTCTTTGTTATATATTAACAAATGTTTGCAGTGTCTCTTGTATGTATTTTTTTTATTATACCATATGTATAATTAAAGAGCGGCTGTACTTATTTTTTAGAAACACCATAATCCCATTTATGACGTGAGACGTGTATTTTATGCTGGGTATCATTATAAAGGATTAGAAGTATGCATGGATTGGACTAATTATAGGGTTGCAAACTTAGGAATAAAAGCGGACTATATATCCTTCTAATCCGTGTTTTTTACCGTTGCACTACAACCAATGTTACGAAATAAAAAATGATGAAATTTATGTATAAAAATTGCTAATTGTTGCAACTGAATACAAGCATAATGTTACTTCTTTTATTGCTTATATCATTGTTGATTTGTCACTGATCACTGAAGGCATGGTAATATACCTGAACATTGTTGAAAACTGCTAACGTAATGTGACGCAAATATAATGACATATTTTCCCAATGAACAGGCTGTTAAGTATTGTTATTGATATAAGGTTTGATAAGTAGGTAATGTCCAATACAAGCATAGGAAAGCTGTAGAATCATAATGCGTAAGACATCTAGAGACGACTTACTCCCTTTAGAAGAAAAGACACACAGTTAGGTGTTTGAAGGTGTTTTTATTGTGTACTTTCTTGAGTATATCTTCTTACGTCTTGGGTAAATAAGAATACTACGTATTCTAAGCAATTTGTATTGTTTGACGGCAGACAGGACTAGACCTAAAATGAATCACAGCTTCAGTAGCCCTGGTAGGATACTTGTCTTCGGTTAGGTGGATGGAGTGTTGCCTAAAAGAAATCAACAACAAACATAAATCCGCTTGTAATATATCTTGGCAACCAACCTGTATTTTTAGGTTAGTTTTCATGAAAAAAAGGAGAATTTTGAGGACGATTGTTATGTCAACACTTCGATATAAAAGCACAAAGAAAAAAATCTAAAAATAGTAACAGGAATTGCAAAGTTATATCTATTTTACATGTTTTCCGAAGAAAATGTTTATGTTAGTTCGTTAAAGGGATTAACTTTATGTTTCCTGCATGGAGTTTGCCATTAGACATGGAATATTCCTCACCATCGCACTTGGTGACGAGGTCAGACCAGATGACGTTCTCCTGGGAGTAACAGTACACCCCCAGGCGGCCTCCGCGGAGAGAGGCGTCCAGAACGTCACCGGAGTCCACCACAAGGAGACTGCCGGAGTACAGACGGAACCTGCATGGACAGAGGATTAGGCGAATCAGACTTTGAAACAATTATCTGAATCTAAATGGATGATATAAATATCAGAACCAGCGGCTGAGTTCTTATATTACCAGTAGATCAGAAAATGTAGCAATTTAGAGGACTTTCGTATAGTTTTAGGAATCCAAAAAAAATATGTTAAGATGATATATTTTTAAGTCACTTTGTGTTGAAAAGAGAAAACATAATGTCACGCGCAAGTGTGTAAGTAGCAAAAAGTCAGTTGCCTTGGGCAACAGAAGTATCTAGCAGACATATTACAGTTAATAGTAATAGGATACTTTTTACCCCAATAACTACACACATTGTGGTATAATTGCAATATATTTCTAGTATAAGTGTACGTCGTACTCCGAAAAATTAGTAGGGATCCATACAATGCATAGTGTATATGTTACACGTGTGTACCTCAAGCCCTTTTCAAGCCGGTAGTATATTTTAGCTTACCTGATGAGTCCGATGTCCACCCGGTGCTTCAGCTCCCAGCGGTAGGCGGTGTTGTAGCTCCAGCCTACTTTGTTGGGATCCTCCCACAGCAGCTTGGTCTGAGGTTTTAAACAAAGAATGTGAATCAGTATATTAGGAAATATTTACTCGGTATTGAAAGATCAGTGCTGCCTCCTTTAATACGTATGGCGGTTAATATTCGTTAAAACAGATAAAAACAGAGTCATTTAGTTCAATTTCTGTATCCAATGTTCAAAATCCACATTGACGTTTTATTGCATATCGTTTCAAGCAGTTGAACAAGTTTTTGTGCGTGTGTGTGTGACTGTGTTTTGGCAGGGGGGGGGGTTCTTAAGCTGTTATAATGTTATTATATTTACCAGTTACAGCAGTAATTGAACTTGAGGCAAAAAAATAATAATAACTTACCTGTCCCGGGACCTCTTCACCCTTCCAAAGAGCCAGGGACAGGTCGTCACCAGGTCCGGTAGTCGAGTTCACCAACTAGTGATAAACAAAATTCAGTTTGACTCATATAAATTGAATTGTTTCTTCTGCGGTAAGTCTGTATGGTTATCATCTTGATTGACTATATTACTACCGTTAGAAGAAAGAAACGGTGTTTATCCTATTGCCTTTGTAACAATGAGCACAACGACACATAGCCATGATAATTGATAAAACTGGATACTTTATGTGTATGATTACATATTTACATATGTAAAAGCCACATTGCTTTATAACGGCTTGACATATGCCACAGGCCTAGATTAAAATGGACAGTTCATTTGAGACATTTTAAAAGAAACACTGCACGAAAAGTGGGATTTACCACCAAGGTAAATGTGATGTAAAGCCGGGTAAAGGTTACATTTACCAGTGATTTACCAACATTTACCCGTCGGTAAATGTGCAAATTTACCCGGTATTTACCCGCATGGTATAGGTGGTAATGTTTGCCTTATTTACCCACATTTACCGGTTTCGTGTAAATACGTATTTAGCGAGATTTACCGTATGCGGTATTTCTCACATATATTTACCGAGATTTACCATATGGGGTATTTTTCACATGCATTTCAGGCATTTACCGAGATTTACCATAAAGGGTATTTCTCATTTCAGGTATTTACTGAGATTTACCGAGCATGGTATTTCTGACATTTAGTTGAATTTACCCGTATTTACGCGTACATGCCCTTACCAGAACGACTTGCCATATTTACCCCCCTTTACCCATATTTCCTTAATAACGTTGTATCACTCCCCTGAATTATATACAAGCACAGGAAATGGGTTCTGGGCAGAACTCAGAAATATTTATTTAAAAAGCATAGAAATTAAACATAAATTGGCTGTTACCTTTTCTAAAAGGTATGCAAATAAGCATTACATACAAGTAAGTAAAAGTTTTACGTACAAGTTATACACTTTTTTCTTATAATGTTCAAATGATCAGTGACCATCTGTGTTGTACTAACAAAACACATAGGCATATACATACACATACAACAGAATAATAATAATAAATACAAGCAGCATTTCTCATGAACACACAGACTATCAGCAGACACAAATCTAAATAAAATATTATCATTCTCTACTGACACACAGCCTTTGAGAAACTATACACTTGGTTTAACATGTACCAGGAAACGTTGTCACATTTTCTATGGAAAATCCATACCAACTTGTCACCCTTAACATGTCATTATATCCCGCATGATAAAAAGCTTGAAAACTATTCAAAGAAACACTGACATAACAAGGAAATTACAAAACTGGCTTGTGATATATGGGTTGACATTCAGTGGAGCTTGCATTGTTTTGCTCTTTTTCCACAATATCAGTGACTTTTTACGACACAATGTAAAATGTATCATTGTCATCATATTAAATCACTGGAGATTGGAACTGGAATACATTTTACAGTACACATTCTGGTATGGCTAATATAGTAATAAGACCTTAATAGCTTGTGTCTAATCATCTGACAACCATCAGACACAAAAACAAATCTAAATGTTTGTCAAAATAAGGCAAAATACAGTAACCTATGGTCTCTATCAATACTGACCACCTGCGGCACATGGCACACCACAATGTTAACTTTTGGGAAATATGTTGTAGAACTGCTCATGTATAAACAATCCTATCCACTTCTGACTCCACTGCTGCCATGCACCCAGGGTAAGGCTCTCTGTTCTGTGTTTGCATGTTGGATGTCTTGGTGTTGGTTTGGAGTACTTCTTCGGAGTCAGTTCCTGTATTATTGAACAAAAGTATCATTACACATTGATTCACATCACTGAGAAACATGTCACATGATTACGGTGCAACTTACAAAAGCACTAACTTACTTCAAGATAGCATTTACAAACATATACAATCTAAACCAAACATCATCAGCAGATCATGTTTAGTTACACAATTTTAGGTGCAGGTACCCAACTTTAAATTAGGTACAGGTCCAGACATGTACTTGAACTACGTGTTCACATAATGGTTGGCACTTGAACTTTAATAAAGACAATGACATGTGTACTACCGGTAGGTTCTTTTAGGTCTAATTATTTCCATTCCTGGCATATTAGCGGTCTAGAATTTTGGACTTGTACCTAACCAATTTTACTATTTCTGTGCTGAATTTTACAGACACACAGCACTAATCATCAACAATGGCACCCTTCAGCTCAGGTACAGGTTCTGACCTGATATTTGTTTAGGAACACATTAATACTAAAGTAAAAGTGTGGTGATACTGAGGAGTATGCAGGGCTGTAGTCTTACCTAAGGAGCCTGTAGCAGCAGTCAGGTACTCGAAGACTCAGACGCAGTTGCGTGCCTTTCATCTAGACTGTCCTCCTTACAACCTCTGCTGCATCTACCGTACAGTACATCCTGGAGGTATATAAAAGGGAAAAAATTACACAGGTGACAAACTGTATCACATTATTTACATTTGTCAGAAAACTATCCTGAGGCATCCGCAATATACAATTTGTAACATATTTCTACCAGATATATTGTACATGTACATGTCTTGATGAATCAGCTGTAACTAAATACAATATAAACATTTTGCATTGGGGGGTTTTACTTAACAATATTATTTCTTTTTTATTTATTGATTTATTGGTCTTATTCTACTTCTAGTTCACTAGCCAGTAGCCACTATCATAGGACAAATATATAAATTTTCACATTTTTTCACAGCTCTTTTTATCAATACACAAAAGTCAGGTACTTACTGTACAGAAATGCCTACTGATCGTTGGGAAGTAGTAGTACAAGACAAAACCTTGTAATATACTTTATATATATATATAATTTGAGGGAGGGGCTAGGGGGAAGGGGAAGTTAGTTGGAGACATAATTGTTTCTAGCGAAGACATCAAGAAAAGACAGGACAGTAAACTGAATCTAGTCTTGTTTTGTTTCTTAATAATCATTTTTTGAAATGTACTTTTGCACTTACCGGAGGCAAAGGCTGTTCATGCTGCTTTGTTGTTTTGCTGCGATGCCAGCCGGACAAGGGGGAGGGGGGCGACGAAAGTTGCTAACGTCACTATTCGAAATTTGCGAGCGTTTGAACCGACATCACATCTCCCCTCGATTCCCCAGACTCTCCAAAATTGATTTTCGATCATGGTAGACTCCGTTGGTGCCATTATCACGCAGAATTAGCGACTTAAACGCCTGTTTTCTGTACAATCTCCTCTCTCTCGACTCTGACGGTTTATCCTGACCGCCAACACAGTACGCATGCGTACGCTCGCTGGCCAATCAGAGCTCGGGCATCGGAACCGTGCCCGGATGTTGACCTAGATATCTCACCTAATCTCCAAGCAGATCCCAGGGTGGCATAAGACAGTATCAAATTTATACTAGCTAGCCTCCTCTCAATATCCATTGGCTAGAGGGGGTCCAATACGGCGTATCTGATTCTGACCTTACATTTGCTTAATGATCCAGGTAGGATCACTTGTTAATTTCCAGAAACAAGTTAAAGAAAAATACTACATTCAAGTTTAACATTTTCTAGTGAATTCAGCCACTTTATATTGTACTTGCAAGTACTTGAGGAGCTTAAGAAAAGTGATGTCTTAAGCTGAAGAGATGAAGATATTCCTCGATCATTGCACTTCATAATTTCCTGTCACATTAGATGTTGCTTCATATGTACGTAATTAAAAGCTGTTAATGTTCATAAAATGTCATCATTGTCATTGTCATTATAAATTATGAAATGTGTATGTGGCTTTTATTCCAGGTCTATATGGAAGCCCCCCGATAAGAGCTTATCCGGGGCTTTTATATGAATTCTGCGCTTCTATACCATGTCTATATGGAAGCCCCGAATAAGAGCTTATACGGGGCTTCTATACCAGGTCTATATGGAAGCCCCGAATAAGAGCTTATACGGGGCTTCTATACCAGGTCTATATGGAAGCCCCGAATAAGAGCTTATACGGGGCTTCTATACACAGGTCTATATGGAAGCCCCGAATAAGAGCTTATATGGGGCTTCTATACTAGGTCTATATGGAAGCCCCGAATAAGAGCTTATACGGGGCTTCTATACCAGGTCTATATGGAAGCCCCGAATAAGAGCTTATACAGGGCTTCTATACAAGGTCTATATGGAAGCGCCGAATAAGAGCTTATTCGGGGCTTCTATACCAGGTCTATATGGAAGCCCCGAATAAGAGCTTATACGGGGCTTCTATACTAGGTCTATATGGAAGCCCCGAATAAGAGCTTATACGGGGCTTCTATACTAGGTCTATATGGAAGCCCCGAATAAGAGCTTATACGGGGCTTCTATACCAGGTCTATATGGAAACCCCGAATAAGAGCTTATACGGTAGGGCTGCGTACCTAAACGTAACATCAGGTACAGGTACAGGTACTGGTACAGAGGTTTAGGTACAGGTCCGGACCTGTACCTGTACCTGAACAATTTGACAAATTAACACGTGTTCTTCACTTTTTCAATCATGACACAGAAACAATAATAAAGTGTTGGAGGGAAGGGAAAATGACTGACCTCTGACCTGATTTGAGTTTGTTGACCAATCACAACCCTGGATCAGCCACACTCTCGCGATATCTCATGAGACTGAGGATCTCAAATCAATCGACGGTGTTTACGTCTTTTCCAGTGCTAATTTTTCGTCTTTGTGGTAGGATTTACCTATCTTTAGTCATATACATGGTGTAAACTAGCTATTTCGGTATATACTCGTTACTTCATGATCCGGTATTTTGGACCTGTACCGAAACGATTTTTACGGTATTGGACCGGTACAGTGTACCGGTCCGCAGCCCTATTATACGGGGCTTCTATACCAGGTCTATATGGAAGCCCCGAATAAGAGCTTATACGGGGCTACTATACCAGGTCTATATGGAAGCCCCGAATAAGAGCTTATTCGGGGCTTCTATACAAGGTCTATATGGAAGCCCGAATAAGAGCTTATTCTGGGCTTCTATACCAGGTCTATATGGAAGCCCCGAATAAGAGCTTATACGGGGCTTCTATACCAGGTCTATATGGAAGCCCCGAATAAGAGCTTATACAGGGCTTCTATACCATGTCTATATGGAAGCCCCAAATAAGAGCTTATACGGGGCTTCTATACCATGTCTATATGGAAGCCCCGAAAAAGAGCTTATACGGGGCTTCTATACAAGGTCTATATGGAAGCCCCAAATAAGAGCTTATTCGGGGCTTCTATACAAGGTCTATGGAAGCCCCGAATAAGAGCTTGGGAGTCCCGGATAAGAGCTTATCCGGGGCTTTTATATGGGACCCCCGGATAAGAGCTTATCTGGGGGTTTTATATGGGACCCCCGGATAAGAGCTTATCCGGGGGTTTTATATGGGACCCCCGGATGAGAGCTTATCTGGGGGTTTTATATGGGAGCCCCGGATAAGAGCGGTTTTATATGGATAAGAGCTTATCCGGGGGTTTTATATGGGAGCCCCGGATAAGAGCTTATCTGGGGGTTTTATATGGGAGCCCCGGATAAGAGCTTATCCGGGGCTTTTATATGGGAGCCTTGGTTTATATGGAAGCCCCGGATAAGAGCTTATCCGGGGCTTTCATCCTGGGTTTGTCTGTCTTTAAGGCTTATTTCAGACATATCTTGGACAAAAGCCCCTGTTAAGGTCTTAAGAGTAAGATTGACATAAATATTTACTTTTAGCTCGTCAGAGTGGTATATACATTTACCATGTATTTACCTAATATTTACACATAATATACATTTACCATGTATTTACCTGATTTTTACACATATCTGCCGGGTAAATATATGGTATTTGTGGGTAAATATTATATGTCACATTTACCAAACATTTACATACCCCACGTAAATTTGGTAAATCCCATATTTCGTGCAGTGAAAGAAGCGTCTACCTTCAGCTGTACCCCCGCCTGTCCACCGCTGCTGTCCCCTGCCTGTTTCCAGGACATCAGGTAGAACCGAGAGTTGCTCTGATAGCTGAAGACGAAACCCACAAAGTCGTCATCAACCTGGGTGTTCACAAACACGGTTCCACGGTAGTCCAAGTTGCCGAAGTTGTCAGGACCTTCGTAAAAAAATCGTTAAATTAATGACAGTGGCATTAAGAGTAAAATATCTTTAAGAAGAAACTTTCCTCTGTTAAGAAGTCTTACTCTCAGGCCCACTATCATCGATTTATAATATTCAATTTACCACCATGTTAAATATAAAGATATTAATCGGAAACTAATACTGTACGTTTTGTATCAGGGTTCGAAATAATGGGTGCATGTGCACCTTAGTGCACCCAAAACTGGAGCTGTGTGCCCTTTGTTTTCTGTGGGTGCACCCACCAATTGTATAATATCATGCAGGATATTCTTGGTATGTAAGTGTCAAAAATAATAAAAACTCTGTTTAAGATTTTGAAGTTAGCTCTTATTTCAAGCTCAGAGGAGGAGCAGTAAGATCTGTAATTATGTTTTTTAAATGGTGCATCCAAAAATTGTTGTGCACCTAATGTTTTAGGTTTGGTGCACCAGTGCACCTATTCCCAAAAATGAATTTCGAGCCCTGCTGTATTTAGTATCATGTTATACTTACCTAGTACAAGACCTGGGTCACTGTTTGCCTTCTGGACTATTTCAGTTCCCTATAACATATACCAAATTTATTTTACAGTTTAAGTAATAAATACAACGCGTAGAAAAAACAAGGTATTGTGCATTTAAACATAATGGATGTTGTGTATACACACTTTTTGTTTACACACTTTCTGCGTAAAGTTTGGTCGTTTAAGGTCTCTTTAAAATCGAAAGTCGTTGGTAATTTTTTTTCCTTGCTATGATAGCTGTTTAAAAAAGCATAATAGTCTTATTTATTCATGCCTGTTTACATCCAACCTCAAAAGATAGTAGTCATTTATGAAAAAAAAAAGGTGAATGAAATACAGAATGGGCTATAAATGTTTTCATAAATTATACCTCATTAAGGAACTCCCAAACTGGAGGGTTGTCACTACTCCCGACCAGATCCACGGTTTGGTAGTTCCTAAAGTCCGTACGGGCGATGACCCCACTCTCAGGACACACGTCATCAGCGTCAGGCACGCCGTCCATGTCAAAATCACCGGTACAGACATCGCCTACTCCATCTCCTGAAATAACACACAGTGATATTGTATTGAGTATTTTTAAACATATGCTTCGACGTTCCTGATCAATATCAATTTTCGATATTAGACATACACAGTACCATAATCATATTTTAACTAACTGTGCAGACATGTCCTACTACATCTCTTAAAACATATTAACATTTGATTTAGTATTCTGAAACTGATGTGGTGATATCCATGCATAATAATGATTTAAAACAAATTGTCTCACCGTCAAAGTCTCTATTGTCCAGGCTGGGAACAAGGCGACACGTGTCCACGTCATCCACTAATGTGTCACCATCATCATCATCGTCACAAAGGTCACCTGTAACCGTCAGGCTTGTTAAATACAATTATTGAAAATAATTCGTTATACATTTAGCCAGGATGCCTCTTTTGTAGCATCATTAGTTTTTTTAGTGGGGCAGATAACTGAAATAATCTTTCAAATTGTGATACAAGCACCAAACTTGGTACAAATACTCATGAGACATTACTCTTTTGAAAAAGTACGCGGGCCACTTGATTTGACTTTTGCTCCAAGAAGAGGGCTTTTTGCTCGGCTGCAGTACCAAAGAGCGCCCTTGGAGCAAATTGTGCACCGGCAAAACCGCCCCTGCAGTTCCAACGCAAGCTGCTAGGGGCACCAAATTTACGTCACTTCTTCCTTACCCCAACAGCTTTCTACCACATAAAAATCATGACTGTGGAACGTTTAAAACATGAGATACAAAGCCCGGAAGGTCGGCTGCAGTACCAAAAAGCGCCGCCAGGGGGCGCCGAAAGTCAAATCAAGTGGCCCGCGTACTTTTTCAAAAGAGTAATGTCTCATGAGTATTTGTACCAAGTTTGGTGCTTGTATCACAATTTGATAGATTCCTCCAAAATTTGATGTTATCTGCTCCACTATTTGTTTAGTTACACTTGACGATATTCATAGGAAAAGTGAAGTTTTACCAATAGAGTAGTTTTCATTTTTATTTTCTAACAGATGCGGATATCTTATAGACAGTACAAGAAGTCAGCATATAGCCTTCTCTAAGGATACAGGTACTTTTGGTAATAATAAGCCGGTTTGCTTGTGATAAATGTCTTCACAGATGCATTCAGGGTAAACTGTACCTGCTCCGTCCTTGTCCGTATCCAACTGTTGACTGTTCGGGATGTCAGGACAGTTGTCAGAGGAGTTTGGGATCCCGTCTGCATCGCTGTCAAAAGGCGATCAGTTAAGTATTTTTTATGAGATAACTATCGTAAAAATTAAGGTTTTTCTTCTAGATGACGAAACAAGTTACATTAGATCATAATAGTTGGTGCCCATACCTGTCAGCATTGTCGATGCAGGCATCACCGATGGAATTCTGATCCAGGTCAGACTGGACATGTCAAAAGCAGATAGAAAGTCAGTAAGAAACATTTAAAACTCCCTGGTACACATAGGCAGTAAAATCACAATTATTCTCAACACCTTGCTTCACCTTGATTATATTTTTTGCAATATATACCACCAAAAAAACTGACGTTAGTACGCCCAGATGATGTGACTAACTTGATCCACGTTTGCGACCATTGGACAGTTGTCACAGACATCTCCGATGCCGTCTCCGTCAGAATCTTCCTGTTCATCGTTAGCCATGAACGGGCAGTTGTCTTGGGTGTCAATAATCCCTAGAAACACATATCATCTATATTATAAAAAGGACAACTTCAAAAAAACTCTTTATATGTTGTTACGTCTCAAACATATTAATATTATCACAAATGAATGTTGCAATCGAGTTAGGAAGATTACTGGTTAAACATAAATATGTTATCCTCACAAATTAGCAAATGGCTGATAGTTAGTGGGGAATTAATCTGATTTTACAAGTTGGCAATTACATATTTTAGGTGAGTATAAGTATGTTGTTGGTTAACACCCTTCTTTAACCCTCAACAGTACACCTTCCCGGAATGATTAATCTGTACACCTGGGGCCTGCGCGGACCCCAAAAGTTTTTTTGCTATTTTTTTTTTGGAAATTATCAACATGCTACCAGCTCAATTGTTTAGCAAATTGATGTGTGAACCTCTGAGTCCACATAACGTACAAAAATCATTTTGACCTTTTCCTATGTTTTGGTGAAGAAAAGACAAAAAGAAGAAATACCCCATTTTTGCACCCTATTCAGACCGAGTGGTCTTTTGAGGCTTGAGCTAGAACCATAAGATTTAATGACCTGTTCTAAAATGTATCTGGGAAAAAAATTCATAGTAGTTAAATAAGTTGATGTTTGTTGTTGCCAACGGGTTTCTGACAGGCATTTTTTTTAATTAGTAAGTTTGGTTTAAACAAAAAAATTTCTGGGTTTTATATTAAATAACACTTTCTTTCTGACATTAATAACATCTTACAATATTAAAGGTAAGTTAAATTATTTAATATTCATAAAATATGCTTATTTTACGGCGACATTGGTCAAAATCCAAGATGGCGGACCATGCTATTAGCTCAAATGTAATATGACGTCATAATTACACCAAAGTTGTTAGAATTTAATTCTATTAGTACACCATTCTCTAAAAATTATAAGGTCATACAATAAGTGCATTAAAAAAACATATAGAGACGGAAATAAAGCAATGTATAAGAACGCCAGTGTATCCATTACGATCGAAAGCCGGTTGGACGCCAAAAGAAAATCAGATATAAAAATGTTTAAAAATGGGAGTAACTGAGTTTTCTGCACTGTATTGAGGGACAGCTTTGTGGGTGACAATTACCTGAAATTTCAGAAAAAGACATCTTTAATAAAAGATACCAGTATAAATAGCATAACGAACAAATAAATGTGGCGATAATCAAACTCACCGTCACTATCGGCATCACTGTCACACACATCCCCCACACCGTCCCCGTCTGTGTCCCGTTGGTCAGTGTTGATGTCCGTGGGACAGTTGTCACACACGTCACCCACTCCATCACTGTCACTGTCCGTCTGGTTTACGTTCACTAGCAGTGGGCAATTGTCCTGTTGAGGATTAAGCAACAACAAATGTGTACATTTTTTAAATGTGTTGCGATGTTTTGTTAAAAAAACTACAGCTGTAGATATTTTTACAAAGCCTCCCTGATGGATATCCTTGCAATTGTTTAGTCTCAGTTGGGTGCAGACTCTGGCTTGTAATCCATCTATGATGTTAGAAGGACATGAGGTAATTTTGTTTTCCTGTAATGTCTACAGTTTAACATTGTTTAAAGTCAATGGCTATCATGTTTAAAAGTTACCTCGATATTAAGAAACCCGTCGTTGTCCATATCATCATCACAGGCGTCTCCCATCTCGTCCCCATCTGCGTTGTCCTGACCGCTGTTAGGGATGCCCGGACAGTTGTCCTAGAGCATAAAAACGACATATTCAGTTCAAGGTCACACATTTGACAACTACCCCATGGATCCAAGAGTTTTGATTATGTGTGTCCTAGAATATAAAATGACAAATTTAGTTCACATCGTTGACAAATTATCGACAACTTTTGTTTTCTTATCTAGTAACTGTGCATGCACATTGCTATCGTTCGTCAGAATAACCGAAAACTGATAGATTAAAAGTATATATAAATATAAGACATTCAACTTACGAGTGACTAGAATAACACGGAGAGGGATAAATATCAAATCTAAATGCAACATGCATACCTTGTTGCACCTGGTGTCGTTACAGGGCAGGGGTACATCTGGATAACCGTCTTGATCACCGTCAAGACCACATGTAAGTCCGTCGTGGGATCCGGCCCAACCAACTTCACACTGAAGTAAAATGTTTAATCTGTTTAATAAACAAAGTCGATATTTTCCCTTGTTGTCCTCAGCTGATGACGATAAGCTTTTGTATGAACGTCCTTGGTTTTTAGTCGTTATTGCGTAAACAGAAAAGTCATATCATCAACAAAAAATAATCTGTTGCATATTCGCAACACAGACCCGCATCTTTTTTTAAAATTCATGTCAATATGCTACTTTATAGCAACATTTAACCCTACCTAGACCGGGCTTTTTTTGACATGGGGGGACCGGGGGGGGGGCT